ATCATTATACATTTGTCAAAACCCACAGAGTGAACCCTAATGTAAACTAGACTCTGGGTGATAATGTAGGTTCATTGGTGAAAACAAATGTACCACCGTTGTACAGGATGTTGCTGGTGGAGGAGGCTGTGGAGACAGGAGATGGGGTATATGGAAGTCTCTGTAATATCTCCTCAACTTTGCTGTGAATGTAAGACTGCTCTAAAACATAAAGTATATATATATAAATGTTTCAGTACCTATCCAAGGTCCCAGCACTAGTGAACGGTAGAACTAGGCCCTGAAAGCAGGGCTCTTTAATTCCAAATACCATGTTCTTCACCTTTACACTATGTCATCTCACTGTAGTCTTTCATAATTCACAAACATTTTTGTTTTTAACTCACGCTTTATTTCACAGTGATAACATGATGTGGGCCTTAATCCTATTTTCCAGATAAGGAAATAGGCTCAGAAAGGTTAGCTAACTCACTCAAGTCACGAATTGGCTGGGTGAGTAGCTGAGTCAAAACTCGAATCTAGGTCAGTTGACTTGAAACTGTGCTCTTATCAGATAACCCATTGATCTCACTGATCCAAAAACTCTTCTGACCTAGAAACACACACAAAGTGGTATCACAGTCCCTTCCCTCGTCTCTCCTAGGAAAGGAGATGTATGGTGCTGTCCGTGTCCATCTGTCTGTCAGGTTGGCATCTCTCTTTCTTGGCCAAAGCCTACAGTCTGGCGCACTGATTTCATTGTTCTATGAGCTGCCAGCTTGGGACTTGGTAAAATGTTGACTATATACCCACTCTACTTCAGAAAAACACCTCAAACCTTAAAGTAATAACTGTGGGGGCTGCCAATGTGGAACTGGGCAGGTTGTGCACTGTCTAAGGGTTCCTGGCAGAGGGGGTGGGTGTTGATGGGGTCTGAAACAGAGACCTTGCTATCATCACTATGCTTTGTCCCCCTCAACCCAAAGGGCCATCTCTAATGAACATGGAAGTCCAAGTGGCCTGAGCTATTTAAAGACAATGGTGATCACTGTTTGTAACCAGCATTACTGATATTTTTATTTCTAGATGCTACTTGACACAGCGTGGAAAGAGTGATCTTGGGAGTCAAGACCCTGGGTTCAATCTAACTTTTCCACTTATAAAAAGAAAGTACTTTATAAGTCTCTTGGTCTTTATTTATCTACCCCCAAGTGCTAAGAAATATATATTCTCATTGATCCTCACAGTCCAAACCAAACCAAACACTCCCAACTCTAGTACTCACTTACTGTGAGATGCTAGGCAAGTCAACCTCTCTGACTCTCATTTTCTTTGTCTGGAAAAGAAAGATAATAATAGCTTCCTTGCTCATCTCACAAAGCTTTTTTTCTAAATCTTAAATTTATTGGGGATATATTGGCTAATAAGATTATACAGGTTTCAAGCATACAATTCTTCACTACATCATCTGTATATTGCACTGTGCATATGCCACCCAAAATAAAGTCTCCTTCCATCACCATATATTTGATCCCTTTTACCTTCTCCTGCCTCCCCCCACCCCATTCTCCTCTGGTAGGCACCATACTGTTGTCTATGTCTATGAGCTTTTGTTTGTCTTGTTTGTTTGTTTCTTTCTGTTTTATGTGCCACATGTGAGAGAAATCATATGATTCTCCACTTTGTCCATCTGACTTATTTTACTTGGCATGATATTTTCAAAAGCGATCCATGCTGTTGCAAATGGCAGCATTTCCTCTTTTCTTATGGCTGAGTAGTATTCCTTTGTGTGAATGTACCACATCTTCTTTATCCAATTGTCTATTGAAGGACACTGATTGTTTCCAAGTTTTGGCCACTGTGAATAATGCTTGCAGGGCTTTTATAAGGATCAAATGAAATCAAGTTACAGGAAAGAAATGCTATTTCAGTATCAACAAGAATTGATAGGATTGGTTAAAAATCTGGATGTTTGGAGAACAGGGGAGAACTTGGGTGCTGGGCAGTGATGCTCTGAGAATGTAGCAAAATCTTTCTTCCAGAATGGGTATATATTGAAGGAAAATTGGGTCTTTGAAAAAAAAATTAGTAAGAAAAATCTGAACAATAGAATATTTTGAGAAAAAATTAATTATTTTTCTCTTCAGGTAAAGTTTGTTGTAAGTGAAGTAAATGAACAGGTGATGCTCATAGGGTACAGACAAAAATGTACATCTGGATGCAAAGAGAAGAAGTGAGCAGATGAGAGTCACTGCTGCAGAGGCAGGTAAAGGGCTGGCAGGGAGACTTCTACAGGGAGCGCCAGTCCTGACCAGGCCTTCAGGGAACACACCAAAGCTTTCATAAATCATTCTTCGAGGGAACGCTTGGACCCAGTGGAGCTCAGTCTTCCAGAAATAATGACTTGGCTCTTTGCAGCATTTTCACTCTTCTTATGTTTGTAATTTCCTGCATGTATTGTTCCAAGAGGAAGACTTGTGTTCTGGAGGCCTCAGGACTTTTCTGGCTTTTCCATGGACTTTGAGACCTCACCTGCCAATGCAGTGCATATTATAAAGCAAGATATTCCTTAGGAAAATGGCGTAAGTTAATGTACGTTATAATCGGCCTATTCCAAGGCCATGAAATTTCATTAATTCAGCCCAAGTTTGAGAATCATACAACATTGAAAGCACAAATTTAAGGTCATCAGCTTTGAAAAAAAATGTTTATTTTAAACTGCTTTCCCCTAATTTATAGCACCTTGAAGAATCCCAGGGAAAGAAATGTTCAAAAGTATTTTGCTGAGTAAGAAGTAATCATACTAAGTTAAAGTTTTTCTCAAATCTCAGCATTATAGAAATAAACTGGTTACTAGTTATTACAGAAAAATATCTGAATGATCCCATAAGTCCTTATTGAAAATTTATTTCACTCTTATTTTTAATGCTCTACAGTAACAGAAAAGAATTTCACCTCCAGGTAAGAGAGAAGGAGGCTGAAGACTGGATGAGTGGGGAGAAGTAAATCGACACATATATATTGAGCACCTGCTATGGGACACACACTTAACCTAAGTCTCATTTAATTCTCACCAGAGTGTGTTCTTACAAAGTAGGTAAAGTCACCCCCTTTTCATAAATGAGTATACTGAGGCCAGGAGAGTGATTTTTGCCAAAGGTCACACTTGTGTGGTTGAGCTAATATTCAAGCCAGTCTACCTAAGCTCAAACCTGAGGTCTACCCTAGCCTCCCCCTTTACCTTGAGAGTTTCTTGGGACTTTGGCTAGAAACTGACTAGGAAATGGACGGCTTGCAAAGCTGTGTGGATGAGTGAAAAGGGGAAAAGTCTCTTCATCACAGGTGTGTAAGTGTCAGGAAGAATTCACCCATTACAGAACACCACTCCAGGCCATGTCCTCTCCCTCTGCCCACATCCTTCCTTCTTTCCTTTAGGGCAGGATTTCTCAATCTTGGCTCTATTGACACTTTAGACCAGATGATTCTTTGTTGTGGGGGCTGTCCTGTGCATTGTAGGGGGTTTATTGCATCCCTGACCTCTATCTTCTAGATACCAGTAGCAATCCTTGTCAGTCATAACACTAAAACATATCCCCAGACCTTGCCAAATGGCTTCTGGGGTTGGAAATCCTCGCCTGTCCCAGTTAAGAACCATTGTTTTCTGGTGAACAACCAACCCAGTTTGCCCTACACTGAAGGATTTTCCAAGGATTCAGTGCTATAATCCGGGATAGTCAGGGGCAAACTGGGATGGTTGGTCACACTACAAATGAAACTTCATCTCCTGCTTCAATAAAGGCTATAGTGGGAGAGAGGCATTGTGTTGATAACATGGTTGTCCTGGCAGTCTTCAGTTTCTCTAAGCTGTTGCTGCACCAAGCACATCTGCCTAATATTCCTTTCTCTCCACCCCAGCACCTACCCCTTATGCTCCCACATAGCCTGTCAGGGGTGGAGGGAAAGTTACCTACTTCAGGGGGGGCTGTTTGAGTAACTGTTTGGGTCCTTTTACACTGAAGTCAACCAGAGGGAATGCTGGTGTGTGTGTGTGAGCTGGGAGGGGCAGTCAGGTGCTGAACTGTAGAGAGCCCATTGATGCTGCCCGGGTGGGCAGTGAGCATGTGTGTTCACACCAGCAGTTGATGAATACTGAATGGAAGTAGGCTTTCAGCTCCACGTCAGCTTGGCCTATGCTTAGGAGGTGTGAGCATTTTTATTTATTTAGTATTATGAAATATTTTTATGAGTTACTCTGACAACTTAAGAGCATATTCCTGAGAGACAGGAGTAAAGGAAAAGCCTCAAAAATGGTTTGTTATGGGGATTATTTTTGTTGTGTTGTTGAGAATGTATTAGCAACAATAATGAACATTTTGGTTCTTGGCAAATTTACAAGGAATTTCCAAAATATATCACGTGTTCCTCAGCCTTCTGCTCTTGGTGTCATTCGTATGCCCATCTACAGGATGAAAACAAGTGAGGTCTGAAGGTGCTAAGTGACTGGCTGTGTCAAATGGCAGGTTTTGCATCTGGATCACTGGGCACCACATCCTGTGACTTCCATATTCCTCCAGTCTGCAGGAGAACGAGCCCTTGTGTAAGTGCTGCTTCTGTGTTGCTGTAAATGTAAACAGTAAAATGACACGTGTAGAAATGCAGAATGTGAATCAGCTGTTCGGCCCTAACTCGCATAATGGCCCTTCCCCCTTCTCTGTCTTCAGCAAGTGGGAGGTATGAGGCAGGTTCCCCAGGGCAGTGCCTGACACGGAGGTTGATATCCTTGCTGATCCAGTGCCTTCCTCTGTGCTCTTTGACAAGCACAGATGTTGGGGGTGTTATTTGTTGCGAATGATTCCTTGATTTTGCAAACCACTGGCTTTTTCCAGGAGCTCTCCATTTCCCAAAACTCTAGCTGGTTCCTGCCCATGGGCTGACTTAATTTCATGTTTTAAGGAGGCGTATTTTTCAAGTTGCACAGCAGTTATAACTGCCAGTGCCTGTTGGGAGTGGGGTAACTGGAATTCAGGGACTCCAACTGGCGACAATGACAGCAGACAAGTTGGTTTTCTTTGTGAATGGCAGAAAGGTAAGTGGGGGCTGACATTTGCTTTGCTCTGGCTGCCCTGCTCCCAGGAAAGGGACGTGTGTCCTGTGGAAGAAGCCTGTTCTTGTTCTCTTTCTTTTGGGCTTTTTTTCCACTTGTTTTTCTTGCTTTATATATCTCTCCTTTCACAGGTGTGGTTGCCTTTTGGGTGACATTAAGGAAAGAACAACTTCTCAGGGCTGGTACATAACAAGTTACTCAAGGGGCAAAGGAGTAAGGAGGGCGGAAGTGAGAAGAGAGGTGGCTGTGGGCTCCCTCTCCCCTGCCAACGCTTGTAGAAGTACAGACACTGGCAGGAAGCTGAGAAAGGGGCACAGGGTTCCAGGTGAGACTGGAGGTCACCCACTACACTTCTGTGTTTCATCAAATATATCCTAAGGCTTTTGTTGTTTTCTTTACTGAGAGAAGGAAATGTTTTCTTGCTAATATCAAGATATAAAATGTACACAACGTTTTCTTCTGACACTTCATGTATGTAAATATAACAGCTAACTTGTGTGAGGACATATACTGACATCTTGTGGCAAACCCCATTTTTTTTCATAAAAGACATGCTATGCCTCTCCCTTAACTCTACATATAAATATTGCAAACCTCTTACTTTGATAAAAATGTACCACTTGGCTTAACTTCATTAGTGCCCCAGGGCCTAGAGGAAGTGGGGTGGGTTGGGCCAGAGGGAGACTTATGCCATGGGTGCCAGTTCTTGCAACACTGGAAGGATAAAGATCTTTGCAAATTCTAATGCAGGTACAGGGAGAGAGGGTGCAAACACATGACAAGGTCTCCATCCTCCACTTGCCCTCCTTACAATAGTGCTGACATGCTCACAGCTGCTTCAGCTCCCCAGTTGGGCATGAAAGGGAGAGTAAAAGGGTAGCCATAGTTGTGCGTTGTAAATGGCCATGTGGACCATATGAGTGATGAATGTACCCAGAGGGCAATTTTATTAGTTTTGCTCTATTGGCCAGTTTAAATGAGAAACAGGATGACTTTAGAGGTAACTTTCAAAAACTAAAATGTGTTTTGTAGGCTATATAGTGCTTAAATTGTCAGGGTGTGGTTGTGTGACTAGCAAGAAAATTCCATGAGCCATTGCAACATCCGTGCTCCAAAGACTGTTGGTTCTAGGAAGGGACATTTCAAGGTAAATCTGCCTTGGTGAAAGTTGTTTTCCCATGTATTTTATTTTTACTTTAGGAAAACAGTTTCAAGTTTTTGTTGCTATCATCACATCAAACCCTGCTACATCTGGAAGCTTCCAATACTGCCAGTTTCTGTGATAAATATTCATACTTGTAATTTGTAAACATGTAGCCTCTTGAGAAAGTGCTGGAAAGGTAGAGAGGCAATGCCAGGGGTGATGAGGTAAAGGCAGTACTGTAAAAACAAGACCTAGCAAGGAAACTCCAAGTCAAATTAAGGCATCTGTGAGTAAGTGTGTTCCTGTTTCTATTCCCAAGTTGTTCTAGACTTTTTATTACAGGATATTATGCCAAGAAGTTACCAAAGAAGCTGTTGGAACTTGGGGTAGTAAAGACCATGTAGGGTGTCAGATGGGTACTGGCTCACTCTTCAATGTGAGCCTTCTAGTCTTCCCATTTCTGACTGCTGTCTAGGAATCTGTCTTCACTAGCTGGGGTCCTGGAGAGGGTGTAAGATGCCAATGATCAAATATCCCCAGGGCCGGGCTGGCAGATTGGCGCGATGGTTAAGAACTCACTTGGGACGCCAGAGGGCCCCGGTTCGGATCCCACATATGAGGGCCAGTGACACTGCCCTCCACAGCTAAGATGCTGAACAACAGCTCAACCTGGAGCTGGGCTGCTGTGAGTCGCTGGCGAAGGCATACGCTGCAGCGCCTGTGGCAGTGGGTTGCCATGGGCTACCGTATGTAGCCAGCAGTCAGAGTGAGCGGCCGTCCAGAAGCCGGCGACTGATCTGCCTTGCACTGGAAGAGAGCAATGATGGTGCCAACTTGGGCTAGTGAAGCAACGTCCTCCACAACTAGACTGAAGAACAAAACGACAGCAACTTGTCTGTTCCCCTTCCCCCAATTCCCCAGCGCTGTTCCCATCCCCCAATTCCCCAATAAAAATCTTAAAAAAAAAATCCCCAGGGCCTTCTGTAGTGGTGAGGGGCTTGGTAACTATTGTTTTTCACATCTTCTTCTGAGTTCGAGTCAGAGTTGCAGTGAAATGGCTACCCAGGATTTTAGTATCACTGTAGTGATAGTCTTTTTGGAGGCTAGGATTCTTGCTTTCTGAGCAATCAGTCTCTGTTTAGTGGAGATTGTGGCATCTAGAGGATTCTGGGAAGATTCAGCATGTAGGGTACAGGTGAAAGTGTCCAACAGTGATTCCCCCAAAGAAGCGGTGTCAGTGAGTCAACACTCTTTCCCTCACTCACACGAGCAGCACTGAACGAGCTCTTCCCAGCCTGGAGCCTGTGGGACGTGTATGTGCTAGAGCAATACAACTCTACGATCAAGCAGTAGCCATTCAAGAGCCTATGAACTAGTTGGAGAGATGGATTATGAGTAGGCAATATAAAGTAATATATTGCAAAATGTATTTCACAGAAAACTATCTCCATTAGACACTCCTCTCAGATATTCTCAAACCACTCAGCCCAGCGTTGGCACAAAGTAGGGACCTAATTAATATGGATAGAATGAATGGATAAGTATTAAAAACCCTAAGAAATCCTCTAGTAAAAAAATTTAGTTTTTAAACTTTGTATTATAAAATTATTTTAAATTTACAAAAAAAAGTTGTAAGAAGAACACAAAGAAATATTATTAAATAGACTTTACCCACATTCGTCACCTGTTAACATTTTGCCACATTTGCTTTTTATTTTCTCAATCTCTCTTTCTCTCTCTCTCTCTCTTTCTCTCTCTCTTTCTCTCTCTCTCTCTCTCTCTCTCTATCTATCTATCTATCTATATATATATATATATATATGTATATATATCTCAGCTCAGCACTGCTGTAGCACTGGATCAATTATTGGGCAGATTACAATATGGCCAGCCATATTTATTATTTGGCATTCTTCTGCCAGGATCAACTTTCCCTTCTCTCCCATTTGTTTGTTTTTTTATTTACTAATTATCAGTTCAGACTCATGAATTTTAATTTTATTTAGTGGATTATAACCCATTTTGGCCAATATTTGTTTTGATGCTCAAGTATTAGCAGAGCAATCTGCTTAACCCAGTGTTTCTTAAGCTCACTTCCCCACAAAGCATCTTCCCTTTGGGATACACAACGGTGTCCTGTTGAGAGAGGGTTACATAGAATTTGCTGGGGCAAACGCTGCAGCCAAGTCGTAAGAGTGGCACAGCCATTCTCTGCAGGAATTCCAGGGAGGTGGACCACTTGAGCTGGGAAGATATGGAAAGCCTTTACTAGGGAAGTGTTTGGGGTCTTCCGATAAGTCAAAATGCAGGTGGCAGAGGAATAGAATGGTCAAAGGCTCAGGAACTGGGAGGTATGCAAAGTATTTTTACTGAAGTATGAAGATCAGCTTGGCAGGAAAGTAAGAGGGAAAGGCTAAAAATGAGGATTAGGGACACACAGAAAAGGGCCTTGAAAGACAGTCAAAGGAACTTGGATGCAACCTTGAATATGTCAAAGGTCACTGAAGGTAGTGAGCAGGGAACTTATGTGATATGATGGGAGCAGGGCTGCAGGGCAGGAGGAAGGCACAATTTGTGGGCAAGGTAGTAAGCCAAGAGACTCTAACTGCTGTCTACAAGAAAGATGACAGGGGGCTTTATTTTGTGCGTTTATGATTTCTTCTCCCAGAAAAAAGAAATAGCTCCTTGTGAAAACTTTGTAAACAAGACTTTGAATAAGGTGGACCTGTAAGGGGTAATAAAAAAAATTCATTTTATCTTTCAGTTTCATTTGAACTTTATTCAAGAGCTGAATTAAGGCCGTTTTGTGACCTCTTTGACTACTTTTGGTCAATAAAAAAGCCTATGGTCGAGACAACCAAAATAGAACAGTAGGTAAACGCTGTGCTTACCTTCTCTCACAACCGAATCAAAATCACAACTAATCTTCAAAACAACCATTATCGAGAATCACCTAAAATCAGGCTGAACTGAAGCCTTTCAACAAAGGATGCACAGAAGAAGCCACATCCAGATTGGTAGGAGGGGCAGAGGCATGTAATGGGCTGGTCCCACACCCGCATGTGACCATTAAAGATCGGTAGGGATATTTCAGCTGTGAAGGTCTCCCCCCCACACCAGGAGTGAGAGGTCCCAGCCCCACCCCAGCCCATGTTTCCAGCGCTGGGGAGAGATGTCCCCATATTTCTGGTTGTGAAAACCAATGGGGATTGTGACTGAGTAAGACTGAGTCCCGCTTCACTCCGAGGTGCTCCTCTTGAAGGGACTGTGTGCAAACTTACCCACCAATGGAATCACTTGCTCTGCTCTCCAGAGCTAAGGCAGTGGCTGAAGATGTGGCAGGGACATATGGTGGGATGGGGATTGGTGCAGAGGGTGGGAACTGAGTTGTCTGGATTGGGATGAGGGCTGGAGAGGCGGCTTTCTCCTGGACTGGGGAGGTGGCTTTCTCCTGGACTGAGACCTCCTTCTTCCCAGCATGTGGATGCAGTAGGCCGCCATATCTGAGTCTCTGGCATTTGTTCACCATGCCCTGGATATTGGAGACCTAGCCCCTGCCCAACTTTCGGGAACACCCAGGCAGATTTCAGTGGCTTTTTCATTCAGACCGCCTGCCTTGGCTGAAGCTGTAGATTTGCCCAGGGTCGTACAAAGGTTTGCAGAACCCAGACAAGCAGCATCTGACTTGAGTATGTCCTGTGCCCCTGGCTGAGCAGCCCTAAGCCAGCACTAGTGGCAGCCGGCCTTGGTTCATGGCTTGGCCTCTCAAGGTGCTTCCAAGCATAACACAGGTGGCACCCATCTGTGGATTTCTTTGTGGCTCCGGCCAGGTGGCCCTGGGTGAAGCAAGGGCTATGGCTGAACTTGACCTACAGCAGATCCCCTCCAAGGTAGTTCTGTGGCTGGCACCCCCAGTGGCCAGCTTCAAAATGAGCCAGAGCATTACCTAGGCACCTCCAAGTATGACACACCCAAGGGGTAGATTGGGCAGGCAGAATAGTCATGCTGAGGTGGATCCTGCTCTGTGGTGTCAGCCCCTGCACAGCAACTCTTCCACTATAGTCAAGGCCAGTCCTCACAACCAGTGAGCCCAAGGGTCAGTTCTTCCCATTGATGTGCAATTATCAACCAAGGCTCAACTACAAGAGGAGAGCACACACAACCCACATTAGGGACACTCCTGGAGCACGTGGCTCAGGTGTCCAGAAAGATTGTACCACTGGGCCCCACAGCACACCTGCTACATAAGGCCACTCTACTAAGAACAGAAAATATACCAGCCCTACCTAATACATAGAAGCAGTCACAGGGAGGCATCCAAAATGGGGAGACAAAGAAACATGTCCCCCAAAAAAGAACGGAATGAAGCTCCAGAAAAAGAACTAAGTGAAATGGAGAGAAGCAATCTGTCAGATGCAGAGTTCCAAACACTGGCTATAATGATGCTCATTGATCTCAGGAAGAACTTCAACAGAGAGATAGGAAGCATAAAAATAAAGATGGAAACCATGAAAAAGAACCAGCAGAAGTAAAGGATACAATAACAAAAATGAGGACTATATTACAGGGAATCAATAGTGACTAGATGAAGCAGAGGATCCAACCAGTGATGTAGAAGTTAAGGTAGCAGAAATCATCTAACCAGAACAGCAAAAAGAAAAGAGAATCCAAAACATTGAGGAGAGCTTAAGAGGCCCCTGGGACAATATCAAGCATACCAACATTCACATTATAGGGGTACCAGAAGGAGAAGAGAGGGAGCAAGGAATTGAAAACCTATTTGAAGAAATAATGACAGAAAACTTCCCTAACAAGCCCAGAGAGCACAGAGCGTCTGAAACAAGATAAGTCCAAAGAGGCCCAACACCAAGACATATCATAATTAAAATGCCAAAGTTTAAATACAAAGAGAGAATCTTAAAAGCAGCAAGAGAAAAGCAGTTACTTACCTACAAGGGAGCCCCCATAAGACTGGCAGACTGAGCACCACCATAAAACGGGCAGAAACTTTGCAAGCAAGAAAGGAGTGGAAGGAATATTCCAAGTGATGAAAAGCAATGACATGCAACCAAGATTATGCTATCCAGCAAAACTGTCATTTAGAATTGAAGGACAGATAAGGAGCTTCCCAGACAAGAAAAAGCTGAAGGAACTTATTGCCACCAAACCAGTATTACACGGAATCTTAGAGGGACTTCTTTAAGATGGGAGGGGAGTTAAGGATGGTGAAAGTGGAAGGGGTTAAGAAGTACAAGTTGGTTGTTACACGGTAGTCATGGGGATGCCAGATATAGCATAATGAATATAGTCAATAATATTGTAATAACTAGGTATGGTGTCAGATAGGTACTAGAGCAGGGTGACAGATGGGAACAGGGTTGGGGGCAGGATGAAAAAGGTGAAGATATTAAGAAATACAAATTGGTAATTAATATAGTATGGGAAATGTAATCAACAGTGTTGTAAAGATCATGTAAGGTGCCAGATGGGCACTGGACATATCGGGGGATCACATCATAGGCTGTGTCCAATATGATAGATACCTGAAGCTGAAGTAGAATAATATTGAATGTCAACTATAACTAAATATATAGGTATATATAGTCACGGAATGTGGAGTACAACATAAGGAAGATAGCCGATGGTATTGTAACAGCTATATAAGTTGTCAGAAGGGTAGCAGCTTGGGGGTGGGTTATCACTTCATCAAGATTTAAATGTCTAATTATTATGTTGCTTTATAGACCTGAAACTAATACAATTTTTCTTAAAAACCCTATGGTCTTTTCTAAGTTGTTTAACACAGTCTCAATTCAGGACAGAGAAGTGAGGGTAGCAAGAAAGTTCTCATTTAATTGTTGGTGGTGTAAGATGACTTCCCATCACTGGGAACATTCAGTTGCACCTCCACGACAGGGAAGGTGTGCATTCCTCAGGCCAGCTGCTGTCTCTCAACCTCAAGTTTTGGGAGGTCCACTCCACACAGAATCTGTTGGAGGTCCCACCAGTTGCTATAGTCAGTTTTAAACACCTCCAAGCCAGCTCTCNCAACCTCAAGTTTTGGGAGGTCCACTCCACACAGAATCTGTTGGAGGTCCCACCAGTTGCTATAGTCAGTTTTAAACACCTCCAAGCCCGCTCTCTCTCTCTCTCTCTCTCTCTCTCTCTCTCTCTCTCTCTCTCTCTCTCTCTCTCTCTCTCTGCCTACACTAGATCCATGGCCAACACTTTTCATCTTTTGTTCTCCCAAATTCTGGGAATGCACCCCCATCCTAACAGTGTCACTTCTTCAGCTTGTCTCATAAGCCTGTCTCTAGCTGTTTAGATATGCCAGACCACCACCTTTCCTGAACTGCCAAGGTCATATGTAGTACTGTGGAATCCCCTCACAAAGTGTGAGGTGTGAGGCACATACCTCCTTTCCCACCTTTAGGAAGATGTGGGACTCATAGTTCAGTTCTCTCTAAACAAACATTTATTACAAATTCTCTCCCCTTAATCAGCCAATCACCCAGACCCATTTACCCTTGGTCATGTGTGAGGAGAAGTGAAAAGATTTATCACAGATTTCCTTTGACAATTTACATTGGGAGCTAGAACTTCATTTTGTAGATAACCTTCTCCAGCTTATGGAGAATTCCATTTGTGGCCTTTGGTTTGAGATTGCCCCTCCATGTCTGACCTGGGTTAATGCTGTTGACTGTCATCTAGCCCGATGCAAACAATAGAGCCAGGCCCACAGCGTGGCTCTCTGCTCTCTGAGAGGTCCGCGTGCTGTCACTCTCAGCTGTCCCTGGAGCTCACAGGTGTGATCCAGCAGCTGGAAATGAGATGACATGTTCGATCTGAAGGGGGCTTGGCCTTGATTAGTACAGCATGGCAGGTGCAACACCGAAGCACTCTGGTGGGTCCCGAGCTGAGCACTAATGTAGAATTTTAGGATTGAAGGATGTCAGTGCACACAGAGTTTGGCTTATACTTTATGTGTTCATTCTTAGGGAATTATCAAGAAAAACGCTTTTGTTTTCATAAGATAATTTAGCCCACAAATTCTAGGGTAAGATAGTGGCTAAGTATACCTGTGATACATCTTTCTTTTGGTTTTGTTTTTATAGGTGGTGGAGAAGAATGCAGACCCAGAAACAACTCTTTTGGCCTACCTGCGGAGGAGCTGTATCCTGACTTTGGAGCGGCAGGGAGGGAGATGGGCAAGGGGCTCATTCTCTGGGTCACACGTCATTTTCTAGTGACTGGTGGGGAGGCTGTAAAGTGAGGAAGAAAGACCAGTGGCTTAGGGTTCTGGACACCTGTGTTTTGGTTGCAGCTCTCTCACACACCAGCTGTGGGACCCTAGGAAGTCACTTCAGCTTTCTGGCCTGAAATTCTAAGCCGTCAAATAAGATGGTTCTTGGTGTTCCTTAAGATCTCTTCCAGCTGAGGCTCTAGTAACACCGAGATTTAACCCTGGGCCTGTGGGACAGGCAGCTCCAACGGGCCCTCATGAGCCCTTAAGGTTCATGGTCATTCGCCTCAGCAGGAGCTGGGCCTTCCTCAGCCAATCTCTGCCTAATACACAAATGGGCTTCCTGGGGAAGCTTCTAGCTCTGTGAAAGTGGAGAGCAAGTCAGGGGAAGGTGTGCGTTTTGGGAGAGAGATGAGAAAGTATGTTGAGGCACCATCCATTGTGGAAATGGCAGCACTGGGAGGCATGGGGCAGGGACACCTGAGTGAAGAGCCCGGTACCTTTTGTTTTTTCAGATTTGGAAAGTATTCTGAGTCCCTGGCAGAAAAACAATAGCGAAAATATAATAGGAGCTAATATTTAATGAACACTTACTATATACAGGTGGAGTTCAAGGTGATTGGTGCTGGTTATCTCACTGTCCCCTCAGCACCCCTTTGTCAGAGGAGGAAGTGAGGCCTGCACATGTTACAGGGACCTGCTTCTCGCTCATGTACTTTGGGCAAACATTGGCAGAGCTTAGACGAAGCCTGGAGCCATGCTCTTAACTTTCCACCTGTACTGGAATCTTTCCAGGGGTTTGTTTTCAGCACAGGGCTTATCCTGACCTCTGTCAACAAACCCCTCTTGCTCCCAGAGGCAGGAATACGCAGTGGCTCATTCCAGTGACATAGTTTGGACAACAAAAAAGATTGTTTGAAGATTACAGAAGTGAGCCTGGAATCCATGTGTCTTTGGATTCCTCTGGTTCAGTCACTTCTTACCAGATAGTGGCTGGCTGTAGTGGACTTTGTGCTGGATTTTTTCCTGGGTGGGGCAAGTCTGGAGTTTCAAAGCACATGATCCTAGTGACTTCTTTAGATTACTGACATCAATTTTTGGTTATGATAAAGTTTTGAAAGCCCTAAAGTCTCAGAAAGTCCTGATTATAGGTATTGTCTAGTTTAAAGGTCAACTTTGAAACGAAACCCAAAGCTGAAAGTTGGTACATAGATAGAGGGTGTCAAAAAAATGAATACACATTTTAAGACAGGAAAAAAATGTATAAAAATTGTAATACTCAATATATACTGATAACAAAAGATGAATACAAGTCATGTATATACAGTTTTTGACACCTCGGTATTAAAATCTTGTGGCTTGTTGCTGCTCATTTGTGGGAGTTCCAAGTAAGATAGAAGACTCTAGCCTTCACTTTGACCCTGGCTTCCAGAAAGATCCCTAGGCTAGAAGAAGATCTTGCTAGACTCTGGGCTGCTACCATTGGTCTTCACATGCCCTTAGAGTTGTCTGAAATGCTGATAACTGCATTGACCCTGACTAGTGGAAAGAATAACTTAGGACACAGAAAGCGCTCCCCAGATGTGTTTTGAAAGAGGCAGGAGCATGGTGAAAGTGGAGCCCCCACATCTGGGGTCAGATCACTGTGTTTGGCCCCTAACTCTCAGGGTGATTGTTAGCTTTCAGGGCTCATGTTACCTCTGGGGTCTCTGGGGTTTTTGTTGTTGTTGTTTATTTGTTTCTCTTTTTTAATTTATGGAGAAACAGTAGTTTCTGACCAAATTGCTAACTAAATTATGGTGAAGAATCCATGGGTATACTTGCTTTCCATGTATAAGATGCTATATCATTGTTAGTTATTACTTTCACCTCAAAAAGGAGGGAAGTGACCAGGAGACAATAAGCTCAGCTCCCTTTATCCTCAGTAGGTAACTAGATGGCTTAGAGGCCTGCAGGTCTGAGGGAAAAGCAACAGTGGAACCTGTGTATGTTAGGAAAAGGGGCAAGCATGATATTTCTCTAGAATAGCCTATTACTTGGGTATTTTTACAAATGCAAAGTATCATATTATTATATCTGCAAGTATGTGTAAGACAGGACTCTAATATTGGTCCTCAACCTTAAAACTATCTTCATTTTAATTTCCATTCACATACCCTATGGGTTGGATATTCAAAAGTCCTGGTTTAGACTTCATTTGGGTTCCCAGACTTCATCAGCCCCCAAGGTTCAAGGTGAAAAGCCTGGACTCAGCAAATCCCAGAAAGATGGATGTCTCACTCTGGTCTGAGTGGCTTCATTGCAACCCAGCCAGGTGGATGTGAGGCCTGCCCCACATGCTCAGACTTTGAGGTGCCAGATTCACCTGCCCAGGGAGATCATGGGGTTGGGGACCTCTCATGACGAGAAGACCCAAGAAAGGTCTCCAGGACTCATGTTCCCGTCCTAGAACTCAAGTCTCAGGGGATTACACTTGGGTGTTGTTTGTTGGGACTCTGATGCCTTTCTCCTTCAGGGTAGTGGAGATGGCCCCATTCCCTGTCTCCCCAGGGTGCAGTGCAGCCTCTCTGGATGACGAAGCCATGTGAGTCTGCTGCCTCGCTGAGCCTGCGTGTGGCCATGGATGGCTCTACCATCACAGCTCTACCCACACGTTTCCCAGCGGCTCAGCCAAGATTTTTTCTCTGAGTTCGTGTTCCTTAACCCCTGGCCATACAGTGGGGCTGAGTGGGACCAAGCTGGGCTGTGGAGTAGGAGGCTGTGGTGCTTGCACCGTGATGGTTTCCAAGTATGATCATCTCCAGAACAAGATCGTGTATCCTTTGCCTGCTGGCTCAATGCTCATATGAGGACTATGATTCAAGGGTTAGTTGTGAGTGATAAGTGAGTGTGTGAGTGAGTGTGTGCGCATACAAACACACACACGCGCGCACATGCATACACACAAGTTGTGCGTGGGTGCACATGACCTTTCTAAAATCCACAGTCATTGGGCTGTCCAAATGGCTCAGTTGGTTAAGAGCTCCCTCAAGAGTGCAAGCTCTCAGCAACAGAGTCACCAGTTTGATTCCCACATGGGCCCGAGCTAAGCTGCCGCTGAGCTGCCAACATGTGGCAGGATGGCTCCACTAAAAAAAATGAACAAATAATAAAATAAAATGAAATAAAATAAAACAAAATCCACACTCATTTCACATCCCATGGAAACCTTGAACAGGTCTCAGTTTCTTCGAGGAGAAGAAAGTCCAGTGTCTTTGCTTAGCACCTGGAGCCCTTCACAATATGCCTCACCTTTCCTCTCCACTTTTCTTTCTCTTCATGGGCCCAGCACTCAATTCATGCAGAGACAATTGTGAGCAACTAACACACCATGCGCACTCACTTCTCCATCTTTTCATAAGCTGTTTCTCAAGGCTTCTTGAATATCCTTCCTTCTAGGACTTTCCTACATGGCTAACTGCTACTAGCTCTTTAAGACTGGGCAAAATATCACCTCCTTCAGGAAGCCTTCCTTGATCTACCAAGATTGGGTTAGGTGCCCTTAGTCCCATAGTGCCCTGTGCACAGTCCTCCAGAAGCACTTATCATTAGATGTTTAAATTGCATCTTCACACTGGCTTCTGTTTTCCTGGGTTGATCACTAGCTATTAAAGAACAGAGATCTCGGTCTTATTCACATTTACTTATCAGCCGGTCCCAGGAGTGCCTGGCATATGGTTGGCACTAAGTCACTGATGTTGGTTGTATAAGTGAATGAGTGATGAATAAAAGAATGGAAGTGAGCAAGCTCTACCTGAGGAGAATGATGTATCGTGTTCCCTGAGGATTTTGCCCCTCAGAGGATTGGGAGAAATAAAGGAGGATAAAAGCAGGGAATCAAAAGTGCCAGGAGGTCCTGAAATTAAAGAGCCTAAGGAAGGACCTTGCAGACAGAGGAGCACACATTGGGCCTGGAACCTGTCAGAAACATCCTCTTGACTCAGCCTCCAAGACCGAGCTGAGTAAGTGGTGGCCCTGGATCCCTTGCTTCAGCTTGGAGGTCTAGGGTGCGCTGATGACGCCTGACCCATAGGACCCTAGAGGGGCTCAGGCGTCACTTGGGGGGGAGACCTTCTTTTGACCCTACCCAGAGTCTTGGGTGGAGGGGTAAGAACACCTGCAGAAGGGACAAGAATATAATGTAGAGTGAAGAGAAATGATATACAGCATCACAAAGTCTGTCACGATTTCTGATGACCTGAGTGGACAATGGAATGACCTTAATCTGGGGTTGCAGCCACTTTTCTGTCAATGCCTGCCTGACCCCCATCTGCTCTTTGCACCACGTTGCCGTGACGACTGTGGAAGGAATAGGAAGCACCAAGTCGAGGCTGCATCCTGTGCAGGTAACCAGAGCAAAGAGAGCTCATGACAAGGCTGCAGACTTGCATTGGGTTGTTGGGCTGAGTGTTACTGCCTGCGCAAGGAGACCTGTGGCCTGGCCACCTCCCATCTCCTCCAGGGTGAGGGGCTGTGAGGCAGAAAGAGGAGGCACCCAACTCTAAAGCTCCCTCTTGTGTCTAGGGTTGATGTAACCCCAAGGGAACCAAGAGGTCAGTTGGATCTGATGGCTGGACTGCCCAGCTGCACCAGAACTAGAGGGAGGGGCGTGGGTGAATTTCCTCACCTTGCCCCCAAGTGTGCTTAGGAAGCCCAATGCCTCCCTAGATTCAAGATTCCAAATGCTCCTTGCCCCTTGATAAAAGCCCACCCATTCCCTGCTCCATCAAATGGTAATTTCATTGCACCTCTCACCTCCCTCCTGCAGATAAACAAATGTGTGCTGCTAGGCCTCCATCCTCATTCCAGTGGAGGTTAGCAAGGGCTCAATAAGAGAACAGACACATGTGAGTGTCTGACCAAGGCTTTCTCCATGATGGTATCAGGCCACCTGGGAATGGATTGAAATTGGGATAGCTCTTGGGAAGAGTGGGGGGTAATCTGGGAAGTTTTGTGGAGAGAATCAGGATGCTCTGAGGCAAAGTGGAATGGATTATACATGGGAGCAGAGCATGGTGGGAAGGAAAGCCCATTGTTCCCCGCGCATTTTGTTTGGGCAAACAGGCATGGGGTGGGGGTGCTTTGGGAGATTGCAACCCCAGAAGGTGCCAGAGCTGGGCCCAGGTCTTTATCCTCCCTTGAGCATTTGGAGAGACCTGCCATTCAGAGCACGCCTTGTAAGGTTCCGTGGGCACCTTACAGGGACGTGGGAGCCAGAGCCTCCAGTTGAGCAAGCTGATTACACTCCTTGAGAGGAGCATCTTGGAGCAGTTAAGCGAGGTGAGAGCAGGGTGGGGTGGTATTGCTTCACCTCTATGGCTTTGTTTCTCAGGAAGGAAAAGTGAAAATTACTAAACTTGTCCAACCTGCAGGAGATGTGAGAAGGGTAATTAGGGTATTT